TTTTATAACCTATTAAACTATGTTTTTAGACAGAATTCTGACACTTATCAAATCATTTTAAATACCTTGTTCCACATACAAAGAATAATATGAAATAATCAGTTGAAATCTGATATACTGAACAGCATCAAAGAAATGTTAATCATTTCAATGTGTTATAAAGAGTTATGAATGAAATCTGAAATTTTTAAAGCGATAAATGACAAGGGTTATTAAATTAAAAGTAAAGCTATTCAAATAAAAGCGGAAACTTGGATAAATGCAACTTCATTATTCTGAGCTTCAGTTTAAAAACATTCACTGTTAAAAGAAATTCAAATTAATCTGTGCGTAAGAAATGGAAATTACACAGGGTCAGATCAATTTGCTTTTATTGAAAGTGTTCACTGTATTAGTAGAAATTATTACAGAAGTTAAAACTTTTAGTATTTATTAAAAAAAAAAACGCAGAGTTTGTGATAATGCGATAAAACTTCAAGGAATATGAGTATTCTGATAAGAAAATTTATCCTTTGCCCTTTCTCAGCATTTAGTTCAGTTGGCTGGCAGTTCGCTCTGAATGGGCGTTTTTGTGGTTTTTCGCATGTGTAACATGCATACAAGCCAGTTTCCCTTAGGAAGTCCAAGTATGAAACGATGGCATTCTATAGAATACCTAGACATTTTACAGAATGCATGACCTTTTTAGGCAAATTATGAAATATTAGAATTATTACAGCCTTTACTACATAAATTACTACTTAAACATAGCATATAATACGTAGGCATTCTACTGAATGACAAATGCTGCTTAAGCAAAGCATGATAAGATGACCATTCCTTAGAAATACATATATTATTTTGAAAAATAATGAAAGAGTGACATCTTTTTTCGAAATACATGAAGAAAAATGAAAGTTGTAGGAAGCGAAATTTATGCCTAAAGAAAAGGAAATTTTCTTTTAAAAATTATGTCATTTGTTGCAACATGGTAGGGATGCATAACATTTTGAATTCCATTTCATTACTTTTTTAAACTCAATGACATTTCATATTTAGGTAAATTTTTTACACATATCATTGAAAAATCCTTGACCACTTCCCCTGCACTGAGCAATTGCAATTGACCAGAGAGGAATTTCGTCGTCAAGAAATATCTTCACCACTAAAGAAAGATCTTGGAACATAAAATGAACTATGATCTCGTATACAGCTGTTTTAAAATTCTTTTTAGAAGTTTAAAAGTCGTTAGAAACTTGTAGAGTCATTAGGATTTTTTTAGAGGCAGACAAGATGAAAAAATAGCAAACGCCTACGACGGGAATCGAACCACGGACCTCTGGAATACCGGCCCAGCGTGCAGAACCACTACACCACGAAGGACGCTAGGAAAGTGGAAGAAATATCTTATATACTCCCCTTTTTAAAGGGCGACTAGGGTTTTTGGGAGACCTAGTCGCCAAATCCTGGGTGCGGAGAATCATCATCCGCAACCCTTTTAGTTCGGGCGCCACTTGTAGAGTCATTAGGATTTCTGGAAGCAGGCAAAATGATGAAAAATAGCAAACGCCTTCGCTGGGAATTGAACCACTGACCTCTGGAATACCGCCCAGCGGGCAGAAACTACATGAAGGACGCTAGGAAAGTGGGAGAAATACCTTATAACTATCCTCTGTTACACTCACTACCACTGCCAATATATTGCACAAAATTATTTCATACTTTCCCAAGGCAATATAGAGATGTTTTCATACTTCGCCGATTGTCATTTGGCATTCCATAAAATGCAAATTTTTTTAGAGGCAGACAAGATTGAAAAAAATGCAACGCCTACGACGGAATCGAACCACGGACCTCTGAATACCGGCCCAGCGTGCAGACCACTACACCACGAAGGACGCTAGGAAAGTGGAAGAAATCTATCTATACTCCCCTTTTTAAAGGGCCGACTAGGGTTTTTGGGGAGACCCTAGTCGCCAAATCCTGGGTGCGGAGAATCATCATCCGCAACCCTTTTAGTTCGGGCGCCACTTGTAGAGTCATTAGGATTTCTGGAAGCAGGCAAAATGATGAAAAATAGCAAACGCCTTCGCTGGGAATTGAACCACTGACCTCTGGAATACCGGCCCAGCGGGCAGAACCACTACAATATGAAGGACGCTAGGAAAGTGGGAGAAATACCTTATAAACTATCCTCTGTTACACTCACTACCACTGCCAATATATTGCACAAATTATTTCATACTTTCCCAAGGCAATATAGAGGTGTATTTCATACTTCGCCGATTTGTCATTTGGCATTCCATAAAATGCAAAGAAGTGTGGGAAATGTTTAATAATTTTATACATTTCCGACCACTTTTCGCCATTCTTTAAAATACCTAGGTATTCTACAGAATACCAGATTTCAAAGTTTTCCGGTAACATATGCATAAATGGATATGTCCTAGATTGGAGAAGGCAAGCTTATTTAGGTGCTTGTCTTCTCCAATTGAGCAATTAAGCTTAATCAATCAAGCTTCAATTAACTTATTTAGGTGAAAGCTGAAATTTGCGGGGAGTGAATTTTAGTCTCTCTTGCATAATTGTCCAAGCTAAGTCTTAGCTGCTAATCCTTATCAGCTTTGCTTTTTTCACCGAGATCTAGAAAATCTCCTATCGGTCTAAACTAGTTCAAAAGGGCTTGTAAATTTCCATTAATAAATTTTCTCTAATCAAACAGGTAATGAAGATAGGTCGTTTTTAAAAATTTAGGAGGCTAACTTAATTTTTATGTGATTTTTTGTATCATTCCACTCTCAAACTCTTTTTTTCTTTTGTAAATTGTTTAACCAATTAGCTGCCAATTTGTTTAAACATTTAGGAGGCTATCTTAATTTTTGTGCGATTTTTTGTATCATTCCACTCTCAAACTCTAATTTTTTCTTTTGTAAATTGTTTAACCAATTAGCTGCCAATTTGTTTTCTGTCAATTTACATTTATTTCTGGGTGTCTAGATTGACACAGAAGCTGGAAATTGGAATATAGATGGAATCTGAAATAAGCCCCAAATTCGGATCGACATTCAACTAGTCCTCATCAGAAAATAAAATTCACATTGGCAATAAATATTCTAAAACCATTAGAGAACACGGAAGTCTGGAGGAGTTGGAAATGACGGATATAATAATATGACATTACGCGTTTTGAAAATGTTGAAATCTTGAAACTCACACAAATTTTACTTCTTCTCAGAAATAATACTCTTCAGCTCACTCATTTAACAACTACTCAACAATTCCTGCAAAAGCTTGAGAAAGGTTTAAACAACAATGTAAAAAAGGAACCTAATTCATGTTGCCAACCTAATTTAACCTAATTGTTGCCAACCTAATTTAACCTAATTGTTGCCAACCTAATTCAAGTTACCAGATTTCCGCTCTAAGAGAAATCTCGGAATGGGGATCATGGCAGTTAGCAGATTAAACTTTATCAATGAGTTGCAGATAATTAATAAGATATTCAATGAAATTCTTTATCTGTCCGAAAACTTTGTTCAGTGTATGATAAAAAAGACAGCATTTTAAATCATATAAAAATCTCAAATAGTGCAAAAGATTCGATTTTCTTTAAGCTGTAAGTGTGGCAATTAAAAAATATTAATTAACATTTCCTAATTTACCAGTATTTGTTCTTGAGGGAAACAATTTTGAATATCACTGTAAAATTTACGATCTCAAAAATAAAACCAGCTTAAAAAGTTTATTACGTCACGCAAATCTAAAACCCTTTCTCCTGTTGTATGAATACATCACATATTGTACGAATATATCAGACATTCTATCAATATATCAGATTTCCAACAGCATACATCATATCAAGTTAATCACATATAATTATCGTTTTACAAGTAATGGAACATAACTTTCAACGTTTGTTTAAAAATTGTGCTGTATAAGAAATATTTATAAATTGCAAAGTGTAAAATGCCTATTCTAAATACAAGGAGAAATGCACTGGAAAAAGTATAACGAGAAATTTTAATTAATTTAAAAATTTGTTCAGTTTGCAGTATATTTGAGCTTGTACGCACCGGATTTCTATCTAAAATTTTTCATAACTTTAGTTAAAGCTAATTTCATATATTTTCCTTGCTCTTCTGAAAGTTCGTTTAATGATATATTTAATGGCAGCCAACAAAACTGTATTTCCAGGAGCAGGTCCTAGATAATCTAATAGGTGTACACATAAATAAGAGCTTATATTTTTTTCAGTTATATTATGCTTACAAACATGACTTGTGTTGATTTGAAGAGAAACGGTAATGTTCTCCTTTTGCACGCGAAACTACTTGTCTTTGATCACAGGTTCTAGATATCGCGTGCTCTACAAATCTACACAGCAAAACTAAGTTGAAAGCAAATGTCGATGTAATTGCAAACGAAAAACTGACTTTCTCCTTAAGATTCCTTTAGCATCAAAGGAACATGACATGAAAATCTCAAGATAAGACAAATGAGCAAGATTTTAATTTTCATTACATGCTTGACGGCCGGATGAAGATTAAACAATCATTTTAATCTTATCAGGGAACATTTTGGTTCACCTTGATGCCAATCAAATATTCGTTTGTATGAAGCGACAATCATTTCGATTATATCGTTATCACATGTTTGATATTGTTATCAAACTGAAAAATCAGAGTGACGTCATCCACTTGTATATGTAAGAGTAAATCTTCATTTAATTTTTTTTTTGCAATTCCTTTGTTTAACTCCATATAAATATCGTTAATTATAAAACCAAAAGTCTAGAATATTGCAAAGATTTTCTATGGCACGTGAAGTTTTGCCTGCACTAAAGTCATAACGGATATTTCAAAATAGCCTGTTGCTAGATTTAAATAACATTTTTTGTCTTTAGAATTTTTTATGTAAAACTAACATTTTACATCGTCAACTCACCTTGCGCATTTTTTCATCAATAATAAAAATGATAGCATTTTTCTTTTAATGATAAATGATCACACGATTCGCGGCAGTACATATATTTCAGGACATTTTTAGTGAAATAATGACAATCAACTATCTTCAAATTTTTATAATACATATATATATTCATGTTTTTAATACATATTGATATTAATTTGCCAGGAAAATTCTTCAACATTTTGCTAATTGCTCAGAGACACGATAAATAAGTATTCTACTTTGGCATTAAATTATCTTCTGCAATTAAGTATCACGGTGCTATGTACTGAAATGTCAAAGCACACTGGTGTTGGATTTTAAACATAAGTATTTAATTTATTAGCCATCGATTAGAATGGAGACCATCCTTTGTGTGATCTTCACATCCAGCTGAATATTTAGAAAATGGGATTCAATTATCCACCAGACTTTGTTTTAATTTTCAAAATATTTATCTTTCTCTTCGCATTTTCAAAAACTCAATGTTGTTATTATTTAAGTGAGCATTGTTATTATAAGCACAGAAATCCTCGCCAACACATCTTTCTCGAGCTGTACTTTCTGCCACATTTCTTGCAGATGTCCATTAACAAGAAGTTTCCGTGCCTTTTATATGAGACTTAAGCGTCTGTATGGAGTGAGCAGATTGAGATTTGGGTAAGGGCTCATCGAGTGAAGAATCTGACGCAGGATCGATGGTCACGTTGGGAGCAGACGGCGAGGGGCTCATGCCTCCAGGTAACCCGTCACACCTCAGAGAGCTGAAGCACTGTCCATCATTGTCGTCTAGGTCGGAATCCGACTCACCCTTCACGCTACATAATTCCTCAAGACTTACGGTCAGGTTTTCGGAATCTCTGTGCAGTCTTCGCTTGATAAGGCCTCCCATCATATGGTAATCTGCTTCTTCAGCTCCATGGAGTATCTCTGACTCCACAGACAGCAATGTCTGATATTCGGCACTATTCTGTCGCGAAAAAGACAACGATGGGCCAAATGTGTGCGTGAGGGGAGAAGTTGCTCTTGGTCTTGTGAATCTGGACATAGAAAAGCTCTCGATATCGTCTGTGATGCTGGTATACTCGCCCCGCGTCAGTCCCAAGTGGGGTCTCAGCCCTCCCATAGGAGGATAGAGGCTACATTCGCTGGTGTTGATGGTATTCTTTCGTCTCATACCTCCTACGGCTACAGATGCAGATCGCTCTACCGGTTGCTTTGCCGGTAGTAGATTGCTAACTTGTCCATTCTCCATTTGGGAAATGCTATTGCCTCGTGTAAGTGCTGGCTCAGATCCAGCTTCTGAGTCCATAGAATGTACATTAAATGTGTCATGGACAGGAACCGTACTCTGGCGCATAAGACCAAGCCTATCAATCGCAGTTCTGGATAACCGGCGCTGGTGGCGACCTCCAATGAACACTGACTTATCCGACGAATCAACTGAGTACTGAGGTGTGAGCGAATTCTGTGCAGAAACCGATTCTCGGTATTCACTGAACTGAACTTTGTTCGAAGTGTCAGCCTGTAATATACAAAATTCAAAATCAATTACTCGTTGCATTTGAATCCATTTTAAACATTTCAGTAGTATTAAGCATATTATCAAGCATTTGGGGAAAAACAGATGCTATAACAGCTATGCCTGCAAATGTATACTCGATAAATGTGTGATTACATACCTTTCATGATGAAACCGAGATTAAAATATCTGATTGCCATATATATGTTACCGTGAAAGACCGAAATTGGAGAATGTCGTCTTTCACCGGAGAATATCAACATTCACCAAATACGTCGGTGAAAAATCGAATGTTGCATTACATTCTTGTACAATCGGACCCTCACCGGTGTATGTCAACAATCACAGATATGCTCTGGTGTAGGTCGAAAAGAGAGGAGTATATGTTCACGCTGGCCATTCCAAAAGGAAGTGTTCCACAAATAAATGCAGTTGTAAAAGCAATGGCCTTTTGTGCAATTCAAAGTGTCATAATAGTTGAAGTAGTTGCAATAAATAAAATTTGAATCACATAATTTGGTAAGTTTATAACTTCTATTATTTTCCTTTTCTCATTTTGAATGTACTGTGTGTTTTAAGTTCTTATTTTAAGTCTCAAGTGCGTTTTCGGGACTGAATTAGGGAGAAGAAAATATAATATTCTTATATGTTCAACATTCATCATTAGTACATGGTGAATGTCGACATTTACCGGTGTAAGTCAGAAATAAGAGTATTCGGAAAATATTTCGGACATACACCAAGTGACTATGTGAATGTTGACATTCACCGGAGAAAGTCGACATTCTCCAGATTTCGGTGTTTCACCGTAACATAGTATATACTTAATACATTAATATTGATAGCAATTATTATCATGCAGATTTTAAATTACGCACTTTATATGGCTAAAAGATACTATTAAAAACAATATTAAATAATTTGCATTTTTTACTTCAATGATATTTGGCATAATTTTTAATCTACAGTTTTAATTTTAATATTTGCTTATTATTCAAAATGTATCGTATGACGAAATGTGCAAATGATAATCCAGAACTAGTATAATATATCAGGATTCTTATGCGTTTTCTCTTTGCGAAGCAATGTTATGACAAGGAACTCTGAGATCTATTTAGGTTGTATAGAAATGAATGGCTCTAATGCTGCCACAGTGCGGAATACAATTTATTAACAAAAACTGATAATATATTAGAAATAATCCTCTGCCATTTCAGTACACTTCTGCATCTGGCTGGGAGATCTCGATTTGGCTTTCGTAAACCAGTCTGTGGGGTGTTGGTGCACCACTGCATGCGAATGCATGCAATTCGACAGAACATTGAACATGTTGGCCCCTGACAGCGTTATTCATGTTGTCAAGTAAGGCGTATTCCGAGGTCTAGGTCCACCCCCTTGATGATATTACCTATCGACGCTTTAGATATCACAAAACCACGACTCTCACATCGTTTTTGGATAACGGAGTATGCATATTTCTCTTCGGAAAGAGCGTAAATGTAGCCTTCGAACCATTGCTTTGTTAAATTCGCCATTTTGAATAAAAACAAAACTTTCAAGCCACAGACGATAATTTTGACTTAAAAACATAGTACAATCGCAATGACTTCTTTTGCAGCAAACGATGTTTTATTACCGCTTACCAAAATCGTCTAAAAAATATGCGAACAGCCTCTGTATACGTGGGCAGACAAAATTTTACTAAAAGTTAATATTTTGTCCGGAATAGATTTTGCGATTCGTCGTATCTGTGCATTTTGTATATCATTCGAAGATATACTTTTAAGTGAAAGTGTTAATTCTATGAAAGTTCCCTCGCGCGCAGGTCTGTCTCGCCAAGTCATCCGAGTCGATTCGATTGTTCGAGTACCTTGAACGGCCCGAAATCGCTCCTGCCCATCCCGCCCGCATATTTGACAAGTGCACATCTGTATAGCCGAGGGAGTGGCTTCTTGGATGGACCAATGGGAATCTAGTAATATTTCTGTCATGTCACATGACCTTTCACGTGCTTTAAGATTCAAGCAAGATGGCTGAAAATATTTTGTCACGCAATTTTCTGTACAAAAGCATCGTCGATTTCTTCTGAAAATTTTCATTGCGAAGTTAGATCAAATATAAGCAACTGTGATGATTTCACTACCTGGTTGAGAGAATTTGAAATAAATACAAACACATGTTGGATACTCCGCAAAAGTATCCATGTGAAACATTATTTAACAAGTGGTAAATAAAATGAAGAAAGAAATATGTGATAAACATCTGAACCCAAATGCTATCTTTACATAAAAATATGCATGCGAGAAAAATATTTACACCAGTTATATATGTAAATAGAAGTCAGCAAATTTTTATTGCAGTCTATATGAAAAAGATGTTCTATAATAATAGCCAATGCAGAATTTCATTGAAAGGGAACTTTATTAATTTGCATTCGTGTTCATTTAGTGTGTTAAATTTCACATTTAATAACTACTCATTCTTAAATGTACTATTTACACAAGAAATACTCATCAAACAGAATGAATTTATCTTATTCACAGCAAATATATTCAATTTATTCATATAAAACTTTTAATGTTAACAATAGATATAATCAGGTTATACACAATATATATTCTGTATCTTACACTTTAAAAACCAAAAGAATGCAAGCACTGAAATAAGAAAACACTAGGTTCATTGTAACACTTTCAGTCCTTCTTAGCTCAATTAATATATATATATATATATATATATATATATACTAGAATTCTCTTAATCCACAAATGATAGTAAATGCATAATATTCGAGGCTAATTGTAGCTTGAGTCATTTTTTCGATGTAAAGATCGATAATATGCCGTAAACATCAATCCAAATATTAATGAGTGATAAAAACCGCGAAAGTAAAATGTCAGCGACTAATTAAACTCATAAAAACGAAAGAACTACGAGATTTTCTACTATTAAGGCATACATTTATAACTGGGAACCAAACAAATGCAAATTAAAATGTCAACTTACGCCACACGTGCATGAAGTTTAGCGTCACAAGAGTGATAGAAGCTCATTGGTCTATTTTCGAAACCCCTCCCTCAGTGGCTACGCTGATGTGCACTTGTGAAATATGCATCCCGCCCGCCGACCCTATCCGCCATTGTGTGTAAGTCAATATGAATAAAAATTGAATCTAAGTGACGTGGAGGAATAACGTCTGGGATATTAATTATTTATTGTGTTTAATTTAGCTTGAAATTGTTTGGGATTTATTTTAAATATTATATATATGGTTTTTCTGTATGTAATCGTAAATAATCTAAGGAGTTATAACGTGCATAGTTTCCGACTATAATCGCAATTTTTATCTAAACATGGAGACTGGTCCTATCTGGAAATGGCTGTGGGAAGAGCTTATAGCAACCGAGAAACTAGCCAACGATTGCAAATTTGAAAGAGTTGAATTAATTGAATTCTCAACCGAAGCTCTCTGCTCACTCTCGTGATTTGGTGAGATCATGAGAGTGAAATTCTCAAATTCTACCCTCAAAAGGGCCAAAGCATCACCCTTCTGATTTGACCCATAGATGTCGCCACCAGCAAGCCACCGCTAAAATACCGGAAAGTCCCAGTGATAGCAAAGCATCAATCAATAACAGTTCCGCGGCCGCCGGAAGTGTAGAATATCTTTTGTTTTCATAACCGTCAGTAAATTGGCCCCTAGACTGACGGATAATCGAAGTTACATTCTATAAAATAGTGACAGGGATAACTTCAACTAGCTGGAATATTCTGTTAACGCTGTGTACCTGTATAGCCCACTGAGGTTCTTCAGAAGTTCCTCTGCCAGTATGCTTTAACCCAGTGATGGGAAACTCCGGCCCGCTGGAAGGTTTTATCCGGCCCGTGGATAGATTTTTAATTTACCGTTCCGAAGCAAATTAAAAGATATATGTATTTGTATATTATATACCATCTCCTTTTTTACTTTCTTTAAATATTATTTTGTTCTTCCTTTTTTTTAAAGGGCTGATGATCTTTTTACTTTCTCTATTTTTGTTCTAAAAACATAAATTGACGGAAATAGCAAGCACAGACAGCTTCCAATTGGTAAAGTGTTAAAAGTGGAAGTTCTATATTAGTTATAGCTGTAGATTGGCGCCAGCAAGCGTTATCTCTTTCTCGGGGAGCAGACATATGAGAATCCAATACAAATGAATTAGACCTCTTAGAAAAACTTAATCTTAACTTAAAACGAAACTTAATCTTAACTTAGAAAACTTAATCTTAACTTAGAAAACTGAATCTGTTTGCTGGGTAGCTAGATAAGAACTTCTTGTCTCATTTCCCGAGGTTAAATTCAATACCCTCAGTAAATGAAGATAAGGAGAAGCTTAAGAATTATGAAGATGGCTTGAAAAAAACTACAATTTTGAATTCGAACGAAGATTTCAGTGTCATTCAAACCGAATTAGATAATTTTACCATGCCTTTCAACGTAAATTGTGAAGCAGTGAGGTCAGTTGCAGCTTGAATTAATTGAGTTGCAATTTAGCAATCATCTCGAGCAGTTTCTCTAAAGATGCCAAAGTTAGAGTTTAATAAATCCTTATCAAAAATAAGTTTCCCAAATTTAATATCTCACGCCGAGAAAATCGCTGCTTCATCTTCTGTATGTGAACAAGTGTCTTCATCTATGAACCTGAGAAAGAATTATTTCAGAAGTAGACTGACAGATAAATATCTAGCCTCGTTGTTTAGAATCAATACATCTCACTTCGAATCTCAATATGAAGAACTTTTAAAAATGAAATCGCAAATTCATTCATCTCGTTTACATATTTAAATTGTAATACTTGTGTATATATTTTTTTAATTTTAGAAAAATTTATCTTGGCCCGCCAAACTTTTTGTTTTCGATTTTTGGCCCGCTACCGGAAAAGTTTCCCCATCCCTGCTTTAACCCCATGCATGGACACTTACAACAACAAAGTATATAACAACACTTATAACAACTAACACTTATAATATATCTCAGCTCTTTCACCGGATTTCAGTAAGCAGGATTTAACAAAATTAAACATGTAGGAATAACTTGGCCCGTTTCGAGTAATCAAGCAATCAAACTTTCGAGATGAAAATCAAACTTTTCTTTGCATTGAAATTACGGATTGCCTTTAACATGAGTTACAAAATCTTGTGAAGAATATTTATTTACTTTTGTTAAAACGACACGTTAGTAAAGGTTGTTATATATATGAATGAAATAACGGAAGTCCATTAGCAAAAAGGAAACTTGTAATGCTAGTACATATCAGTCATTATTAAAAAAAAAAAATATTATTTCATTCTTAACATAGCTTTAAAAATCAGCGAAACTTTTCGAAAATTTTCAGTTGAAGAGATAATCGCGGTCTGATCTATTTCTAAAAGATTATAAGCAATGGGTCTAGAAAAGCTTAAATTATATTTCGCAGATGTTATAACATACATGAGCTTCAATGAATTAAATGCAATAAGCATTTCCAGTAGATGGCAGCACTATACAATTTAAGTATGAAATGGCTGCATTCTGATTCTTTAGGAAATAATAATGAAAAAGATGAGAAAAAAGGAAAGAAATGCAGTATTTTAATATTAAATGAATATTATTTGAGAACTCATATTTATCAAAATCTGGCCAATTATTAAATCCTAACACCAATAATTTTTCCACCGTCAACATTTTTTATAATCATTAATTATATTTCTTCTACTCTTAACTAAACAAGGATTTTTTTCCTTCTGTTTCTTACGTACTACAATCTGTAAAATTACCAGTTTGTTCTAGTTTGCGTTTTTGCATTAATTTTAGTATTTTATTCTTATCTCATACCTTTACTTCATTATTACCTTTTATCATGGATAGATGGCAGCACTAGGAAATTTAAATATGAAAAGGGAAAAATGACGGATTTCTGATTCCTTAGGAAATGATGAGAAAAGGGGAAAATGATGCAGTATTTTAATATTAAATTAATATTATTCTAGCATCTCATATTTATCAAAATCTGGCTAATTATTAAATCCTAATACCAATAATTTTTCCATAGTCAAGCATTGTTTATGGTCATTAATTTTATTTCTTCTGCTCTTAACTAAACAAGGATTTTTTTTCCCTTCTGATTTTTACGTATTATAATCTGCAGAATTACCAGTTTGTCCTAGTTTGTGGATTTTTCATTTACTTTCGTATTTTACTTTGATTCTTTTTTAATGAAAATTTCATTATATATACATACGTTATGGGTTTACTTTCTAAAATTAGAAGTGCCAGATCCCATTGAAAGGCCATCAGAAAAAATAAGCAAAATTAGATAAATAAGATCATAAATATTGATGAAAATATAAAAATAGATTTCGATAAATTAATGATAAATATAAATAAATTAAAATTTGGGAAATCATCTTATTTGGGGCTCTGGCTGGAATTATGATTTTCTTCAATGACTGGCAAGTACTGGCGCTCCAGTAATGTAAGCCCTGGATAGATGTCTTTAAAAATTTATGCGATTAATAAAAAAAATATTCGTTTCAAACTGCACATATTTGGAACCAGGATAAATAATTTTTTTTTTTTTTTTTTTAAGTTGTTCTATTTTTTATTACCTTCGAAGTGCTTGCTCCCTCGTCCAATACCAACGCTTCGTTGGTAGGTTCTATTATTTTTGGTGCTCCATTACTCCTGAGGGGCGCGTACCTTTGCGTTCGCTCATCGTCATCTTCGTCACCAGATGGCTCTGATTCATCGCATATAGAAGTCATCCTATAAGAGGAGGGAAGGGAAAAAAATAAGTTAATGATTATTTAGACGGAGAGTTTGGGAAAATAATTAGAAAAATCACTTAAATTCTCGGTGCTTCAAAGAACATACTTCAGAAATCTCCAACTCGAAATATTTTATGGAAATATCCAATACAATGACAAGGGGGGTGAACAGATTCATTATAGTTTTAATAATTTCTGCAGTTTCCTATAAACCACATTAGTATGTAAAATTATATCATTACAGATAGTGTCGCAAGTCTAAGATTAAAAATTCAGAATTAATAATTTTATTGCATTAAAAATTAAAATGACGTATAGGACTTAATCAAATGGAATAGTGTGAATTGGTTGTATGAATGAAATGAGACCAAAAGACTTTTTGAACTTTTTTAAATAAAAATAATCACATTTAATACTGCGGAACAATTTCTTTTGATATGACAGACTTAATTTCGAAAAATTATAAATCATACAGAAATAGAAAGATTCAGTTCAACACAGTACTCCCAAAACAAAGTTAAACAATTTGGTGCTTTCTTTGCTTAATCTTTAGAATATGGTAACAGGTAGTTTGGTGACATTTTGGTAAGGCGATAAAGGTTACTAGCTAGGACTTTAGTAATAATCTGAGAAGTACACAGGCCGAATCACAGATTATTTTGTCTCAGAGAAATGAGAGATCATGAGGCATGTCATGTGATATTTTCCGGAAAATTCCAATCGGGATTTTAGCTAATAAGCACTTAGAAACAATTTCGCTGCAAAAGTGCAGAATCGCCCACTTATTTGTTTGGCGCTTTATACAAGAGTAAGAAGAATTGGATTCTTGTCAATTTTCTTTGACTTTTTAAGTGAAAATAGGTCGATGTGTACATAGATAAAGTCAAGAGTGTGTGCAATGCCATTTTTGTGCAATTCTGGGATTTTTTTTAAGTGAAAATAGGTCGACGTGTACATGGATATCGTGTATATGCAATTCTTAAAAACGCGGCAAGCAGTGGGCGATTCTACACTTTCTCCCAATTTCGCACCTAATCTTCGTCATGATTAAGCATTTTTGTTCCATAAAAGTTCTAGTATAAGCGTAATTCAGCTAGCAGATTGTTGGAAAAAATGCTGAGTCAAAAAAAAAAAAAAAAAAAAAAAAAAAAAAAAAAAAAAAAAGCCTTTACTTCATGAAAACAAAATGGCGTCCAAAAAAAAAAAAAAAAAAAAAAAAACTAACAGGTTGCTGTAGCAGGGTTGGTCGCCAAAGAATCGCCAAGTTACCGTAATGTAAAGATTCACCCTTTCTTTTAATAAAATGGTTAAAAATTGGTGCAAGCCTCGCATAATAGGAATTCAACTTGGTGTTCATTTTACAAACTAAATTATTTAAAAGTAAGTTTTAGTGTTGATATGGATTCTTTAATATATCAAATATAAATTACAATTAATTATATCAACACAACTTTTTTTGTCCCATAAATACAATAGTGCTCTTTGAATTCGCAAACATTTCAAATTCACAAAAATTGAAGAAATTGGTTCATTTGAATTTAGTATTAAAATATTTTAAAAAGTCTAATGAAGGGAGACTTATTTTAGGCTTGGGAAAAATATTTCGTATTTACATATTTGTCGATAAATAGCCATTCATGCATTTCAATCCCAGCAAATATTCAAATGGTTTAAAAATGTAGGTGTTTGACTAACAATTCATTTCTCAGTTTTGCTATTACATTCCCAATGATGTCTAAGGTGCTGAGTTAATAATTATTGTTGAAACTGTTTCACTTCAGTCACAAATCTTCTGTTAAAATTTTCTGAAAGTTTATATCACAGGAAAGAATAAAGAAAGATAAATGTTCAGTTTTCCCTGCTGTTCCTCTTGCGATGTTTCAAAGCAAGGATAAATTTGTATGATACTCTTTGCAGTGGCTCATCATATTTGTCAGATGATTGTAATTTCATTGCAGTTTTGCAAATGCACAGTTAAGAGAATAGTAAAAGAGTGGGTTACGTAACGCAGGACAAGAGGTTCTAATAATTGCCATAAGATTATAAGATCCAGTATTCTATAAGGTGTAAGAATTGGAGGCTCCCTTCAGCCCACCTGGACACGAGTGTTCCCATAGCTCAAAAGAAGGGGGCCCCATATCTCCACAAACGAGGGCAGCCAGTAACCCAGCCGCCCCCAAACAACAAACAAAAATACTAAATCAAAAATAAATAAGCCCATCTAACACAAAATTACAGACCAACAAACAAACAAAAAAAATCGATAAACAGAAATTCACAACATAGAACAAACACCACAGATATCTAAAACCCATATAAATACAAAATTAAATTTTAACAGAAGATTCCTACTACCGCCCTATTTTCATTGATAAACTTCATTAGAGCAATAGAATAGGATTTAAAAACTTTAAAATGAATGACACTTATATTTAAATCAGTAATGTTAAAAATCTGTCTAATAGGAGCTGTTAAAAAACTACAATGAACCACGAAATGCCTAGCATCACCATCAACCTGACAACTATTACATAATTTTATTTTCCTGCAGATTAAATCGGTTAATTCTAAAAGGTGTATCAATACAGCGCTGACAAATTTTCAGGAGAGATGGAGTAAACCTAGACGATGGGAAATCACATAGGAATGCACGGTCGGAAACGCTTTCCTGGCGCGGAGATGACGTCACAAAACTCAAGAAAGGTCGGACACGTACGTGGTTCGAAAACATGTTTATTATTCGGAGTACAACAAATACGAAATAAAAACAACATTAAAGAGACAACGATCATCACCAAAGAATGTGTTCGAAATTACGACCCGGACCGTGATGCAGGAACCTTGCGTCATGCATCTTCCATTCGTGATGTACATCTTCCATATGGAGGTGTGAGGCCTGCATCATGGTCCTGGGTCGAAATTTCGAACAACTTCTTTAATGACGATCGTTGTTTGCTTTTGTTCTTATTTGTAGATTTCTGCAGTACTAAACATAATAAAACATGTTTTGTCTCACTGTTTGTGGCCTTCCTTTTTTGCTTTTTGTGTCGTCTCTACAGAGCCGGAAAAGCGTTTCCGACCATGCGTCGAAAATCCCATCGCCTAGGTGTAATCTATTTCTCCTAAAACTTTGTCAACGCTGTCCGGATACACCCTGTATATACTTCCGTATACTATTAAAATTGTATATTATTGAAGTTTCTATTAAAGTATACTATTAAAATTTTGTATTATAAAAGTCAAGTTAAGTTAAAATTGTATACTATTAATGTTCCGTATACTGTTAAAATTGTACCCCATTCAGCTACAAGAACATTTCACCAGATGTGAAATAATTTGCAAAAGGGACTTTCCGAAATCCGAAATAGAAGCTGAATCTTTTAGACCAAGGGTTTTCAACCATGAAGGAGGATTGCCCCGAGGGGGAATTTAGTAGTTTGAGGGAGAGGACAATGTTCAGGATTTTATTTACCTGTTAAGTATTAAATTTTATTTTATGAATATATAAAAAAAAATACTTTTATTCGAGTTTTGGTATTTATCAACATCATTTTCTATGCTTTTTTAAAAATTTATATAACACATTAAAAATAATCTAAATTGAAACAAATATGTATATATTTTAGACGTTTTGGAATAGAGGGGATGGTCGTCTAGCAATGGTGAAAGGGGTTCATGGAGCAAAAAAGATTGAAACCTAATGTTCCGGACTGTATAAAACTAATATTTTATTGCACGAGATTGTCAGTGCTATTTATAGAATCTAGGTAAAAGACAGCCCATACGTATACGTAGGAAGGGTGACCAGTTTTGGACCGCAGAGAGCCAACATTGTGAAGTATGTTAGGTTCGAGTCATACGATTCACTGTGTGAAATTTTATGAAACTGATTGGTTTTCTGTTAAACTGAGAAATGAGACATCATACATTAAAACAATGCACCTCCTTACCGTGTACAATTGTAGCACACATTTTGCTTTTTACTAACACAAGAAACAAGTATCCTATCCAGATATTCTTTAAATCATATTACGTAACGAACGTTACCTTACACATGTCAATCCTTTCCCCGGGGTGGACGTAAAGAATTCTGCGAAGCGACTGGCTAAAATCTGTATCTAGGCAATCTCGGCCTCGGGGGGTATATAAATAACGAACCTACTAGTTCTAAAGGACCCGGAAAGATCTCTTATTGGTCAGCCAGTGGGTCTGGTACGTACTAAAGCTGTAGTAGTCGGGGTGACGTCCTGAGTTCTGCCTGGAGGTGGAGCCCGGAATTTTCTGGGTAATGAATGTCCTTGAGCGACGGGCAGCCCGTGTGACTGGTAGGTAGCAAATTGACGACCAGTGCCGCCAAGGGGCGGTGGCACCAGTGCTCTCCAGGGTGCAAGGGCATGGGTTGAATCCCTGGCTCAGCAGCTGAGTTGGGCACGTAGTGTTAAGTCTAAATCTACGTTCAGACGAGGGCGTAAAGAACATAAGTGGTTAAAGCCGAGCTCCGTTGCCAAGGCAACCAGTGTGTACTACGTCACAAAATCTAGGTTTAGGGCTCGTGGCATAGGGTTCGAAGATTTCAACTTTACGCGGAGCTTGGGATAACCGTTGACCAATCACAGCGAAGCTTTCTTTCTTTCCACCGACAGCGAGGCAGCCGGTCCACTGGGTAGTTAGCATATCGGCCAGGTAGCTCCGCTGACGGAAATAACTTGAACAAAAAAAAACATTTATAAATACATATTGTGCTCAAGACGACTGCTGGGGGCAGTGCAAACAAATGCTGGACGAAGACTAGTGCATGATGGAAGAAGGGTGCACTGCAGAAGATTTCGGTGTCACAAAACAAGCAGAGCGAACGCGGGAAATCAATCGAGCAGGAGAACAGCGCGGGAAAGTTGTAGATACATCCACGCATACGTAAATTTAGCTTCTCTCATTGGCCACGGCTTACACCCCTTTCTCGCAGGTGTGAATGGAACTTCCGTATTTTATGCTCTTATGACTATGCCTCTATGCCCTTTACGTCGCCGTCTGAACGCAGCCTAAGGGTGCATGGAATGTCCAAAATCTTGTCGTACACTCTCAATCATGGAGACAAGACAGCTCAAATATGCAAACGATGATAATTTACGATATAGCTTTCCAGAAACAAATAGTCACAGACAACATAAGACAAGTTTTTTTTTAAATAAAACAAAACATTTCATGTCTCTTTACCTGTGCGAGTGACAAGACGGTCCTTTTCCGGATCCTGGCTCGGCCATCGATGTGACTATGTAACGGTGAATGACTGCAAGGGAAGCCGCGGTTTGCTCAGCTAAATCTTCTAATTTAGTAAGCCGGAAATCGAGGGTTTTGATGCAGGCCGTTGACTCTTTCTCACGATGATTAATATCTTCTATTCTTTGCGACATCGTCTCAACCCTTAAAAAATGGGCAATGATGCAAGTTGTACATAAAATGAATTTAATATATAACTTAAAAAAGTATTTATTAAACTTTCGAAAGGAAAGCAACGCCTACTCAAAGAAACAAAATATACTTTTACTAACTTTAATGATCTGGATTATTCCTATAAACTTAAGAACATACTCAAAAGTTGTTCTTTTAAATTAGGTGGTTTAATCCTAGTATAATGAACACATGGCGACTTTTGGCGACATTATGATGAGCAGTTAACGCGGTATATCTGATAGGTCGACGACAATTTTAAAAATCGCGCCAAAGCCATACCATATACTAGGATTTTAAAAACTAGGCTTCTGCTCATAAGTCTAACTATCACGGTACCAAACGCCTTAGCATAACGTGGAAGGTAGGTTTATTTCGATCTTACAACGGAGGTGTAACTGAATAATAACAAAAATAATATAAATTAAATGTGCAGATGTTATAAAGATTTAATTGTTAATAAATTAAATGCTAAAGATTTAATTGCTTACATAACTAATTTAAAAAATAACATTTTATTTTTCGTACTTTCATCGAACAAAAACAAATATACGAAGTACTTAATATTAATAAAATGAATTTAATAGTGTATACTATAGTATTTTGTTCTGCAAGAAATGGTACTATCCAAAAAGACGCCAACTATTTCCTTCATCACAAGAATGAAACATGTGTATAATAAGTTGCAATTTTTTAAAAAATTAATACATTCTTTTTATGTTATTCTTTCCTATTCTTTCTGTTTCTTCTATTAGCCTCATCAGAATCTAAATTAGGTAGTATAATGGTACAAAGGTATACAACCGCTTTGAAATACCATTTCTATGTCTCCTTCGCAGGTGCACACTTTCGAATATGTCCTATTTGATTATCTTCCGATAAAAGTTCTATATTTGCTTTAGCTTTTCTATCTTTCAAAAGCCACTTTGCAATTACTGGAGATGGAGGTTTTGTGGTAATAAAATCCCATAAATCCTCCTTAATCAGCAAAAATTTGTTCGAATTCCTGAGTATAATAATTCTGTCATCTCTCATTCAGATTATCGACGCATATACGATTTATATTCGCAGTCGCCATTACTGCACAATCGTTATAAAGAACGAACGAAAAATGAAAGTTCATTCGAATTTAATTTAAAAGGCCGATTGCAAATAACTACATACGTTTTTATAAAAGTCTTCTCTTAATCACTGGGACCATAACCTGCTAAAATTAATTTCACGCACAGCGATTTAATAAAACAATAATTAAGAAAATTGAACAGTAAAACTACGGGATCAACATTTCCACTACTGGAAGTTCAGATATTATATTGGCAAACTGTCAATAAAGCTAATAAAGAAATTGCATCTCGGGACATCCAGAGGTATAAAACAAGAACAGAATAAATGAGTGATTACGACATGATTTCAATGTTAGAAAAAGAAAAGAGGGAATTGATAGCCCCACCTTGCAATAGATATGGAAAAGCAAATAATAAATATATAAAAAGACAATAAAAGTAAACCATCTACTTATTTTATCCAGATGCCAGTAATTTATGTGGATGGCCATGAGATTTAAATGGAGCAACAGTGATGACTGACTGAATAAAACGAATGGTTCAGGTACCATCTATCTGGGAGAAGAACAGCTCCCGCCAGTATCTGGGGGGGGGTCGCTATAGCAACAGGGCTAATATATTTCAACTAGGTACGAACCAAGGGTTGCCGATTCATTTTTAAATGCGCCAAGATGGTAAATTGAAAAGTAAATCTTCAAGACACCCCTACGGAAAATGGGTCAAGACTCATTTCTATGGCAACAGACACTGCAGACTATCTGGCGAGAGCTTTTCTTATGATAGACATATAAATTATAATAATATTAAAAGTCGATTTGAAATATTTAAAAGAACTACAAGATAAACATTCAGATGTGCCTTTAGCTCCTGAAAACAGAGTTCCAGATGGCTCTAGACAAGTTAAATTTACTAACAACTTTATATGATAAAATACAGATAAAATTCATTATAGAAATTTCAAACAGTATTTGAAAATGGGTTTATAATTCATAGACTTCTGGAATTTAAACCATCCCCTTAGTTAAACAAATACATAGATGTGAATGCAGAAATGAGAATCAAAGCTGCTAATCATTTTGAAAAAGATTTTGAATAATAATTTTGAAAAAGACTGATGAAAAGTTGTTTAGAGAAACAATGGAAAACAATTAGGAAGATAATTGACGCGAGATTATGTTGTAAAAAGAAAAAGTTAAAAAATTAATCATTCTGTTTGACAGAAGCTTAGCTGCTGTTCATTTGAATAAAAATTCAGTCACCTTTAATAAACAAATCTGTGTTGGATGAAAATATTAGATTTATTAAAAGAGCTAGCATATGACTCATTATAATATTACGAAACATAAATATTCAGATATTATGCTACTGTATATGGGTACAGATAGTTCTGCATTTTAATAAAACTAATGATTTTTATGCAGATATGAAAGATAATTAGTTATTCTGATCCATCTGATTATCCAAAGTAAATACGAATAAATATACAAGTAAATAAGAGGGTTTTAAAAAAATGAAAGATGAAAATGATGGCATAATTAGGGAAGAATTCTTTGGATTGAAAAAGAAAATACATATCTATAAAACTGAAGTTATAACTAAGCAATCAAAAGGCGTCAAAAATGTGTCTTTAAAAACAATATTGCATTTGAAGACTATAAAGACTGTTAAATAACAATGAGCATTGATCATGAATTTAACTAGATGTATAAAACATGACTTATATTACACATTTACTGACAAAAACATGATTTACACTGACTTCACATTTTTATACATGCTTGTACCACGCATAAAACATGGTTCAAGCGAATAAAAAATTACTGCCACGTACAGATGACAGACGATTTATTTTGGATGGAATTCACACGACAGCCATTCTAAAAATTTTGTCGTTAGATAATGTCCCATAAATAATGGAAGAATTCAAGAGCTTGAATTCTTACACCGAAACTCTTAAACTGAGCGAGTTAAATCCAGGAAAATATAAACTGATATATTTGAAACACGTTTTATAAAAATATGATGTGTACAACACATGAGTTCCTTGTACGGAATATTAAACTATATGCATTTTTTATTGCATTTCATTTAAACTTATTGGATTGAATTAAATCTGCTTTGTAGATAGCGCATAAACCACAATAGAATAAATGCACTCTTTAGAATTCACTCTATTTGTTTACCATAGCGACACTCTGGCGCTAGGTTCAATAAACAGCGTTATATTTCGTTGATATTATAACTCACTCAGAATGCACAAAATTTATATCATTTGAAGAATTATCGTAATTCGTTGCCACATGTTCTATTCAAATACTCTAATATATCTAGAACAATATATAAAAGAAATTAAGCAAACAAAACAATAAAGAAACAGTTTTTCGCAGACGATTTAATATTTTTCATTAAAATAATTCAGTTCTCACTTCGCGACAAGGCAAAAATACATAAAAACTCAAAATATCTGTATTAAAAATTACGAAGTAAATCTTAAACACTTATTTCCACGAAAAAATTCCAGAAATGATTAAGCAGGATTTAATTCTCAATAATAAATGAAGGTGTTTTCTTTGTTGTTGGGAAGCTTAGAAAGACTCTAAGCTTCCCAACAACAACAAATCTAATATTCTGCTATTTCAAATGTAAACAAATATGTCCGCCATGATATTTAAAACTTAATTTCACTTAAGCAGGTTTTAAATTGTTGATAATTGCAAAAATATTGCTTGAAGATTTACTAAAGGCATAAAAACCTTAACCGGAAGTTAAGAACAACATAATTCAATCATTTTTAAAGCAAAAAATGTACAATTTACAAACATATAAGAGTAAAGAAACTGAGATCACTGAGCCGGATAATAGAGTGGATATGTATATAAATATATTTATATACGTTTGGTGCAGCCAATTGCAACCAAAATACGAGGTGCACATCTAGATGTTATAGCAGTCCTATATACAAAATTTTAACGTTCTGAGGCTACTCGTTTTTGAGTTATGCGAGATACGTACATACGTTAGTACAGACGCCAGGAAAAATTCTCTTCAGAATTCATTTTAAAGCAATTTTATAATTTTTTTGGAGGAAAAGAGTCTTTTATTCTGTCCTTATGTGCAGATATCACGCAAAAACATCGTTAAATTGCATTCGATAACGGTCAAAATGGATATTTTCGTTGAAATATACTGCCTGAAACTTTTCGCGATTGCAATACTTCCTTTTTACTTCGTACAAGGAAGTAAAAATATGGAGATTTAACAATAGATAATTTACCGGTAGATGATGAAAAAGGAAGTTGTTAGTTTAAAAAACTGTCATGAGAAACTTTCTGATGAAGCCATTGAAGAAACAAATAGTGGGAATTATATTTTTAATTTCAAAACAAAAGTAAATAATAAGTATTATGACCACGATATGGAAAAAGAAAATATACTATATGAATGGATACTGTTAAGTAAACCATGTGATAAAAGTGCTGTACTGTAGAAAGAAAGAGCACAACCAAGTTCAAATGTATAAAATGTGTGAATTTTACTACCTTTCCGTGGTAAATCGAACTTGTTCCTCTGTAGACATATTTAGCTGCATTTCTTTTTCCCTGAAATATCCTTCAACACATTCTTCTTCAAAATCGTAAATCGTCTGAACGTCATTTTCGGATAAAAAAAGCTCTACAAGCAAAACAGAAAATCATGAAATATATCTAAAAAATTACTACGTATATATCATAAAAACAATCACCACTTAGCCACAATATTTTCTGTATTTACAATTTCATTATAAGTACTCATCAGTTTCACAAATGCGTTTAAAAATGGTAATTAAATCCTGAAATTTCATAATATGTGTCAAATTCGTTATTCATTCTTCTCGCCAAGAAAAAAAAAAAAAAAAAAAAAAAAAAAAATTCGAAAGCAAACATTATGTTTGCTTAATTATGTACAAAATTATTTAACCCTTTGCGGCACAGTGTGTCCTGTCTGGACACACCTAAAAATTTCCTTCTGTACGCTCAGAAAAAGTGAATGAAAAGGATTTATAAGTTACTATAGGTTTCTCTGAACCTTCTTAATTTATAGTAGATGGCAGCTTAGCACAAACCAGCACACATATTTTAGCCATGTTTAGTTTTTTAAGACCCTCATTTTTCAAAGAAATCTTCCAGATTTTTTTTAGGGTATAAAAGGAATTGCCTGAAAAGAAATTTCTATGTTATTGTTTTGACTGTATGATAATCTCCTTATTCTATATTAGTTTTAAATTTTTACCTCGAAATCTTGCCCTAAAATTCAAACATTGAACCCTAGGTGTGCCCATACCGGGATCACCGATAATTCTAGGACAAACTGAGAGTCTGTACTCTTGTGTTTCTCCGCATCTCGTCGGTCAAGTTCATTGACAGCAATGCTCGGTTCAGCACTCTTTTCGAAGCTCTATTCAATCAGTGTGCCAACTTTGGGCACACCCACATAATTAAACGATTTAGGTCGCTATCTTCACCAAATTTAACTTGTGTACTCCTTCTATTCCTAATTAGACTGCCTACCTTTTTTTTTTTTTTTTTTTTTAATCAAAACTTCAACTTTAAAAAGGTAGCGTGCCAGAAAAGGTTAAGAAAGATATAACATAAGGCATTTGTTCTAAGCCATCCAATAGAGATGTTTAAATTTCTGAAAATGAGCTTTTGGAAATGTCAATAATTGTTGTTATCAATCGAAGATTGTTGATAAAGATAATAATCTAAGAAATATCTAGGTCTTGAAAGAACAGATGACTGCAGAAGAAGGTTATAATAACCTTTTTTTTTTTTAAACTAAACTAAACAAAAACACACCTACTCATAACTGAACCTCTACTTATGGCTAAGTAAAACTTGAACAGATAATAGGATGTACAATCACAATAAGGTAAAGATCAGCTACACGACTGGCTCCTTCTTTAACAGCAAAGCTGAAGCCTAGAATATCAATATAATCTAAAGAATGTGGCTAGCACTAACGGTTCACTTACTGAGCTACTTCAAACATGCGGCATCAATTTGGAACTCTCCTACCGCGAACTCTTAACACTACTGCTTAAGTACTGTTTCCAGTTCACTTAAATTTGCACATACAGTACAAAGTCCGTAATCCGGACTCGTCAGGACTTCGGCGATTCCGAATTAGGGGTTTATCCGGATTATAGATTAAAAATATGAAACCGTAATTTATGAAATAAAGAGCAATTATGATTTAAAGGGTATCAAATTTACAAAAAAAAAAAAAAAAAGCTTAATATTTATTTGTTTACTTTATTAAACATTCCTTTCAATTTAAGTTGTTTCGTTTTTTGTGCTAATACTTTCTCTTTAATTCTATAAACAGACATAATTCCTTGTTACAAAGTTCCACTGTTCAAGTCCTGCAATTGCTGTGTCGAGAATACCGACTAACTTGTCAATCGAAATACCTCTCTCTCACTTTCTTCACTATCGGAAGTGCGCATGGGTAAATGCTTTACCGGCATGCGTAGCGGACGCGCGCATTAAAAGCGCATGCGTAAGTTTGTGGCTTTGAAGTCCGGATTATAGATCATTCCGGATAACGGACGTTTGGATTACGGACTTTGTACTATACATCATTAAATTTTCATTCTGGCAGGATACTGAAATCAGAAGGGAGAGGAAAGTTTCTTTATATAAAAATAATGGGTTAGAACAAAGTAAAGTCTTTACAAAACATATAACACAATAAAATATAATAAAATACCTTTGTTTTAACTTTTAATAACTATTTAACCATGAAAACACAAGGTGCTACTAAACATATCTTCTATTTTGCGAAACGTTACACAAATTTTTGAGTTACACCAAGAATTAGAAGAAACTTGAACAACTGCCAGCACTTTACAAAATGTAATGGATGTAAATGAGATTGGTAAGATCCATTTAATTTTTTTTGATAAAAAAAAAATTAATACACAATGTATTATTCCATATCACTTACTTAAGCCGTGGTCGAAAGAATCCTCCTTGCCTTGGCATCGTGTTAAGAAGTACTTGATGAGTAGATGAATGTGAGAGAAAACTATGAGAGGCGGTGGAAGTAAAGGTTTTTGTTCGTACTCCATAACAACTTTAAATCGCTGGCTCTTCCAGACTTCTTGGGACATGTTATTCACTTCAAAGAAGATATTGCTAGAAAAGTAATTAAAATTATCAATGGAAAATAATACAGCAGCTAAGAAAACGACACAATCCGGGGAAAAGTTGCATTTGTATCTCCGAAATTAAACAAAATGTTTGGAGAAAAACTTTCTCGCAGAAATTTTGTTTAGTATGAAATAGGAGATGTTGAAACCCAAGAGTAACAGTGATAGTAATAAATTCACAACTGGAAATACAGCAAGAGAAAAAACAAATGAAAAAAAATGTGTCTTGATTTTTCCAACTGTTGGAAGATGATCCCCAACATTCAGGAGACTCAAAGTACCTTTTAATCCAAAAGTAATTTTTAAACTTTCAGTGAGACATATGTGTCATAAAGGGTTAACACCCACAACTGAAAGTAAGCTAGAATTTTAACTCCATTTCGGAATTAAGTACGGTTATTTAATAAAACAAAGCACTCGTGGGCTGTCTTTATTCAGAAGAATTTCTTCATGGAGGGGAGGGGGGCATTTTAAGAAAATCAGACTTGAAAAAATGTTATGTAAGAAACTCATTCGTTTGTCAGAAATCGAAATTACAAAGTGTTTATATAGTCATAACAAAATAGTATTTGAAAATATTTTTATGCTTAAGATTCATACACAGCTTGAATAAAATAATAAGATGGCATTTTTCATCCAATTCGACTCAATATTATGCTCATGTATACATAGTCTAGCTCTTTTTGTATTTTTCATATTCAAATTTAAAATGTCGTACGCTAAGAGAAAAGAATAAAAAATATCTACTTACTTGAATACCGCTATTAGCAAATTGACTAAAAGTATATTCGCTATTAATAAGTAAATAGCCATAATTGCTGGGTTGATCCACATTCCAGGACGACATGGAGTTTGCCCAATTTTGTCACCACATGATGCTACAAGAAAAATCAAAGCCCTTAGTACAAAACTGCGCGTAAATAATAACCCTACGAGAAAAACATGATGTGTTAGAAAGGTAAATAAAAACATTTGCACATTTATATTACAATGATCCCTTATGGGCATCTATTTTAAGCTGATTCTTCCTGGGGAAGGGTCTACTAGTGTCAGGAATTTAGAAGGAGGAGTTTTATATTGCTCTTTTCCAGAGAAACTGGGGTAGTTCGCTTTTATATTTTGGCAGAGTTATATCTCAGATCGCTCTAAAGAGTCTATTTAAATGTTAAACAGGATTTAAAACTTGCAGTTATTATGGCCAAGGTAATACAGGTGAAGACTTCACCTCTCTTGGCTTGGCTACAATAACTGCAAGTCATGTTCATCAAATTATAGGGTGATGACAATTGTCTGATGACACACACATTTGCTGCGCATTATTGGCAGCATTGCTGCGAATTATTATTATTTGCCGCGCACTGCTGCGCATACGTGAAGACTTCACCTCTCTTGCCCTGGCCATACATCATAAGTGCAAGTTCATGTTCATCAAATGACAGGGTAATCACAATTGTCTGATGACACACACATTTGCTGCGCACACATTATTGGCAGCATTGTTGCGAATTATTATTATTTGCCGCGCATTGCTGCGCATAGGTGAAGACTTCACCTCTCTTGCCCTGGCCATACATAATAACTGCAAGTCCATGTTCATCATATTATAAGGGGATCACATTGTCTAACGAAAAGGAGTATTAGTTTAGTAAAATGACGCTTGCTGTGTAAAATACAGGTGCACCAGCATGCTACGAAAGGATCAAGTGACTTGAAGATAATGGGCAGCATTCAAGTTTCTTCCAAGAATGTAAATGTTATGTTTCTTTCAAGAACGTCAATTTTATCTATGAGATGACAAGTGTAAGCTTTCTAGACCATTCCAAAATCCCGAAACTGTTGTCAGTCTCCTCCCCGGTTAAGTTGTATCCATGGACGTTCCTGCCACCTTGGATAAAAACCTCACTGGTTTTATAGGATGGTCCGTAAGCAAGTGTTGTAAAGGGATGATATGAATCTGCAAGAATCTGTCAGCGCTTGCTTCAAACGAATTAAAGGGTTGGACACAAATGACATTCATACGCCTTAAACACATACACACATTCAGCCACTTTCAGGTTGTACAATAACCTCGTAGAAAGAATGGTCTGTGGCTGCATGAAACAGTACCAGTAACAGCTTGTGCAGTACCAGGAACAACAGTACCAGTAACAGTTGAGACGACCTATATTGGTCATTAGGTCTTCATTGGCAAGGAGGACCGGGTCATCCTCCAATTCAAACAGTAACACAATTGTTACTGGTAGTTATTACCCACTACCAGTAACAGCACCAGAGTGAATTTCATCGAGGAAAGAACAGCGCGACACAGCTGGAATCTTAAGTCACCAGAACACCCAATCTTTGCTTAAAAATAAAATTGGACATATATTTCTCGCTGTGGTTCGAATCAACCCGTAAACAGTGACACAGAATGCATACCGTTGCGTTTTTGTTATCACATTCAGGGATATGACGAAGATACAGCTGTTTTCGAAATGCTTCCGTACTCGATCCGCATTGAAATTTTTATAGATTTCGTGCAACATAACCTGTTTAATTATTATCATCTTTCTTGACAGCCGACGAAATTTCTTTTCTTTTCTCTACATTATTTGATTCCCTGGTTTATTAGCCTTGAAATGCTGTAAATAACGTTTTAGAGTCAATAAACTTTCAACTTTACGCAATGAGCATTTATTACCGCATGATCCAGCTCTCTGATAATATCAGGTGACTGAAACCACTCATGATATGTCATAGAAATTATGTTAATATCATTGCTGTATTGGCACAGAGCAAATTTTAAAAACGGGTACTGATTTTGTAGTGGTATATTTCCGCTGAGGAACTTCCATGATGCCGGTGTCCCAAGTGACTGAACTGCTTTTCATCCTGTTCCCTTTATATTTCCATCGCCAAGTGGGCGGTGCTTTTGTACAAGGAACAGCTGCTCATCTTCAATAAAAGAACGTAATTGCTTAACCAAGTGTCATTATTTGGAGTCAGATCATCATGGAATTATCGCTACACGACAAAAGTCAGTTATGTAACTCATAATATAAAAGCATGTTAACTGTTAATAAACAGGCATGTTAAACGGATAACTACTTTGAAATGAATTTCAAATTAAGAAATGTCAATGAAACCATTTTGCGATTGAGATCAAGACGAAGTTTACGGTAGAAGAAAATTAAATAACTCTTCTATCGTTCATTAGAGTGCCTTAACCATTTAAAAATTTTTATCCTGTTTAAATTAAAAGAAAATTTCGTCAATTGGTAAACTCGGATTTCGTTCAAACCTCCTGTATTTGCCAAAATCTCTCAGATTTAATTAATGATATAATTCTGATTCAGCCCTTCCAAGAATGGTTAAGAGTTTTATTCGATAATTGTTTAATGTTTTCCTGTTTTGGTCACTGTATTTCCTGTTTGGGCCACTGTGTTACTAAAATTGCTCTGGCTATTCTAATAGTTACTAAAATTGTTCTTGCTATTCTAATAGTTACTAAAGTTGGTCTTGCTATTCTAATAGTTACTAAAATTGGTCTTGCTATTCTAATCGTTACTAATTCTTGCTATTCTAATAGTTACTAAAATTGTTCATGCTATTCTAATCGTTACTAATTCTTGCTATTCTAATAGTTACTAAAACTGTTCTTGCCATTCTAATAGTTACTAAAATTGTTCTTGCAATGCTAATAGTTACTAAAATTGGTCTTGCTATGCTAATAGTTACTAAAATTGCTCTTGCTATTCTAATCGTTACTAATTCTTGCTATTCTAATAGTTACTAAAATTGTTCTTGCTATGCTAATAGTTACTAAAATTGTTCTTGCTATTCTAATAGTTACTAAAATTGTTCTTGCTATGCTAATAGTTACTAAAATTGTTCTTGCTATTCTAATAGTTACTAAAATTGTTCTTGTTATTCTAATAGTTACTAAAATTGTTCTTGCTATTCTAATAGTTACTAAAATTGTTCCTGCTATTCTAATAGTTACTAAAATTGTTCCTGCTATTCTAATAGTTACTAAAATTGTTCTTGCTATGCTAATAGTTACTAAAATTGTTCTTGCTATTCTAATAGTTACTAAAATTTTTCTTGCTATGCTAATAGTTACTAAAATTGGTCTTGCTATTCTAATAGTTACTAAAATTGTTCTTGCTATTCTAATCGTTACTAATTCTTGCTATTCTAATAGTTACTAAAATTGGTTTTGCTATTCTAATCGTTACTAAAATTGTTCTTGTTATTCTAATAGTTACTAAAATTGTTCTTGCTATGCTAATAGTTACTAAAATTGTTCATGCTATGCTAATAGTTACTAAAATTGTTCTTGCTATTCGAATAGTTACTAAAATTGTTCTTGCTATAATAATAGTTACTAAAATTGTTCTTGCTATTCTAATAGTTACTAAAATTGTTCTTGCTATTCTAATAGTTACTAAAATGGGTTTGTATTGTTGCGTGCGTACGTGTTCGTAACAGAATGAATGCACGCAGGTCCGATGATTGGTTGACAAAATTTATGTTATCAAAAGAGTCCTTTCGAGTTCTGGAACTTTCCAAGAAGTACTCGTACAGGTGTTTACAGTGTCACAAAGTACAATCAGGAGTTACACTTCAAATTACTGAGAATTTTAAACACAAGGCAATGCAAAGCGCAACTAAAGAGAAAGCGAAGCCGGAGATATCCTCAGTACTCCGAACTCACGCTGAAATAGCAACTCGCAACAACAACTGAGGAACTGATATCCTTTCCGCTGTTATATAGTTTTTACCCAGCCGCCCAGATATTTCTAATACTTTCTGCTTCTCGAAATTACTGGAAGACATACGAGGACCGAATACGGTTATAGTTACACATGAAATCAATTACAGTTATTCAATTACAATACCTAGTACGGTAACACAGAGAACGGACCCAAAAGTCGCTAAATGGTCCCCAAGTTTGGGCCATTTCTCGCCAAATTAGCAAGATACTCAGTGTTGCATAAACTTACCCCTCTATTCTTATCTTTCCGACGCAGCATCATTTCTCTCATCTTTTCATGTTACATTACACAGAAAAATACAAGGATTACACATACAATTTCATTAAAATTATCTATCTGTGTAAAGAATTCGTAAGAGTATATTTATCCAATGAAATTACACCAGAATAGAGAAGATTAGTTTTGTTCAAGTCTTATATCAGTTTCTATTTTTATCTCTAAAATTAATCGTAATCGAAATTTGAATTTTGACAGATACGTATACAAAAACAGTTTGTATAATAATATTGTGCGTTGATCAACGAACGAGTGGTTCAAGAACCAAGACATGTTTGGTGTATTTAATTATGACAAAGCACACTAGAGCTATCTGCCTAAGAGGAGGGATGCCTTCGTGGAGGACTTTCTAAGGGAAACTGACTCGTATACACGTTACACATGGGGAAAACCACGAAAACGCCCATGCAGCCAGCCCGTTTGCGGGATTCGAACCTCGGACCGAACTACCAGTGTTCAGCGACTTTACCGCTCGGCCGCTGGTGGGTGCATGAACTCGAGGAAATGGTTAAATATAGAACCTCAGAAACGCTTACTGCATGGGCGGTTGCACTGATTTTTCCATATGTATAAATTATTAGGTGGCCCCCCCCTCACTTCTACATAACATGGTATATGTATAAATTAGTTCTCTAAAATTGCTCCAGATAAAATTTATTTTAAAGTTTTACTTCTTTTAACATTTTTTATTTACGTAACAAATTTCAAGAAGCAGAAGAAATAAAATGAACTTACGATTTATCCGATCAGCGAACACTTCTCCGTAAAGCATGAAGTAAGGCATAAAAAATATGTGTTGCACCAGGCCCCAAGACGGTTCTTCGTCAGGGTTTAATATACCTTGTCTGGCTACGCCGTAACTCATCAACACTACCAGTAACAGCACCACGAAATAAATCATATCGATAACCTGTAAAAGTGAGCACTATTTAGGAAAACAGAAATCTGGCAACTTTGTCAGAATGAAAAGTTAAAATCAATTATCTCATAATTAACGCAATCCATTATTAAAGAATAATGAATAACGCAATCCATTATTAAAGAATTTAACTTTTAACGCAATCCATTATTAAAGAATAATGAATATCTCATGAATAACGCAATCCATTATTAAAGAATTTAACTTTTAACGCAATCCACTATTAAAGAATAATGAATATCTCATGAATAACGCAATCCATTATTAAAGAATAATGAATATCTCATAAATAATGCAATCTATTATTAAAAAATTTATCTCATGAATAACGCAATCCATTATTAAAGAATTTAACTTTTAACGCAATCCATTATTAAAGAATAATGAATATCTCATAAATAACGCAATCCATTATTAAAGAATTTAACTCATGAATAACGCAATCAATTATTAAAGAATAATCTCATGAATAACGCAGTCCATTATTAAAGAATTTAACTTTTAACGCAATCCATTATTAAAGAATAATGAATATCTCATGAATAACGCAATCCATTATTAAAGAATTTAAATTTTAATGCAATCCATGATTAAAGAATAATGAATATCTCATGAATAACGCAATCCATTATTACAGAATTTAACTTTTAATGCAATCCATTATTAAAGAATTTAATTCATGAATAACGCAATCCATTATTAAAGAATTTAACACATCAATAACGCAATCCATTATTAAAGAATTTAACTCATGTATAACGCAATCCATTATTAAAGAATAATGAATATCTCATGAATAACGCAATCCATTATTAAAGAATTTAAATTTTAATGCAATCCATGATTAAAGAATAATGAATATCTCATGAATAACGCAATCCATTATTAAAGAATTTAACTTTTAATGCAATCCATTATTAAAGAATTTAACTCATGAATAACGCAATCCATTATTAAAGAATTTAACTCATGAATAAGGCAATCCATTATTAAAGAATTTAACTCATGAATAACGCAATCCATTATTAAAGAATAATGAATATCTCATGAATAAGGCAATCTATTATTAAAGAATTTAACTTTTAATGTAATCCATTATTAAAGAATAATGAATATCTCATGAATAATGCAATCCATTATTAAAGAATAATGAATATCTCATGAATAATGCAATCCATTATTAAAGAATAATGAATATCTCATGAATAATGAAAACCATTATTAAAGAATTTAATTCATGAATAACACTAATGCAAATCATTTAAAAATCAAATAAGGCAATCCATTCTTAAACTCAAAACATTGTGTTAAATAGTGTTTCACTATTTGTTTATTTTTTGGGGGGGGAGAAGATATACTATGTTACATATCTTCATAATGAAAACACAGTAAAAAATATTTATTGTCTAAGTTGAATTTTCACATATTAGGGAATTGACTTAACCAGTTATTTTATTTGATTCCTCCATTATATCTAAACGGAAATTCATGCAGAAAATTTGTGTTAAGCCAAACTTTTAAGTTCATTAGAAATCATCATGTGACCTTTAATGAACTAACAATCTTATAAGTCTTATTGCATGATGAAAACAAATCTTTTTGTTACACCTTTCGATACTGAAAAGACACTTTCTCGTCTTGTAGCAGCTAGGTTTAATATTATCTTCATTGTTGTTCATTATCATTTAGTTCCTCTAGATTGGCAACAAGAAAGAATGTAGACAAAAACAAGTTATTTTTAATGATTGTAACCCTAATGTCTTCTTTTATTATTGTGTTGTGAATTAAATACGCTTAATAGATTCTGGAATTATCATGGAATAATTTAACTTTGACTCAGCATTGAGTCCACAACAGACTAAGACTTACCATTTTACCGATCATGGTAACATACGGCCCAAGATATTTGTTGACGCTTAAGAAATCTAGTGACCGGATGTACCAGTACATAATGTCTAGGCAATAGATAACTCTTCCGTAGTCCTTGGTAGCTGGATTCAGTCTCAGAGAAACACCCACTAAGAAGAATATAATCACAACAAGATCACAAGGATTCCATTTCTTTTCTACCCACACAGCCAGTTTTTGAGCAAAATTTACAGGTTCAGATGCCACTACCTAAAAAATGCAAAAAAAGAGAGATTAGAACAAGCTTTAGATTAGTATAATATGAGATAAATATTACATTATGCTAGCATAAAGATTAAATTAAGCCATAGAAACTTCATATTATTGTACTACAATAGTTTTATTATTAATAAATATGTAACATTAAACAAAACTTCAGCTTCTGCCAATAAAAACAAAGGGGTATATTATTTTCCCCCATTCCGATTTCATATATAAACTGCAGTGGTTCCCAAAAGTACTCGTATACTTATGATTTCCATTGGAATAGGGCTCTGTCCATTAATTAAAAGTAAACTTGCTGAATGAGATTTTAATAATCAGATCTATAATCTATTCGTAACAAAATTACATGAAATATTTTTAAAATATAGCGAAACTTTATTTTTAAGAAATTAATACTCAAACAATGACGAACATTAAAGAATTTAACTTTTAACGCAATCCATGATTAAAGAATAATGAATATCTCATGAATAACGCAATCCATTATTAAAGAATTTAACTTTTAACGCAATCCATTATTAAAGAATTTAACTCATGAATAACGCAATCCATTATTAAAGAATTTAACTCATGAATAAGGCAATCCATTATTAAAGAATTTAACTCATGAATAACGCAATCCATTATTAAAGAATAATGAATATCTCATGAATAAAATATCTCACAAAAGTCTTCGTACACTTCAAAAAAATCTTGACATATTAGTATATATTTTCATTTTTCGTTAAATTAATATTTAGTAGGATATCTTTTAGCATCCACAACAGCTTTTAAACGTCTGTTAATAGATTTTACTAGTTTTTTTTTTTAATTTCTGTATCAGTGTTCATCCATTATTCTATCACGCCTGTTTTGAATTTGCTTTTCGTTTTGATGTCGTGTTTTCGTACACTAACCTCCAGTTCTTTCTAAATGTGTTCTATGGGGTGTAGATCTGGAGACTGATGTGGTGTTTCCAAAACCTGTGGACAATTATAGAGACACCATAGGCGAACGCTAAGAGCCGTATGCTTTGGATCATTATCATGATTAAAAATAAAGTTGTTTCCGATACCCAAATTTTGGGTTCATAATTTTAAATTGTCTCTTAAAATATTTAAATAAAGAGAATGATTCATTATGCCATCAATAAATACCAAATTACCTAGTCCTGATACTGCCATAGCATTCCCCACACAAGAACACCTCCACCGCCATGCTTAACTGTTCCAACTAAGTTCTTAGAATGAAGTTTCTCATTTTTTTTCCTCTCCATACAGTTATTCGACCATCAAAACCAAAAATATTAAATTTGCTTTCGCCAGCAAATAGGACATTATTCCAGTACGTTTCTGGTGTATTTATCATTGATTTTGCGAATGAAAGCCTAAGCTTTCTGTTTTTCTCACTAACAAAAAAAAAAAAGTTTTACGGGCAGAACGCCCATGTAATCCAGCTTCTCTGAGAACTCGTTGAACAGTTTCAGGTGGAATTGAAGTATAAAACTTTGCATTAAATTCTGCAGAAACTTTTACATCACTCAAATGTGGGTTTTTCACAAATTTCCTAATAATAAATCTCTCGCCACGTTTAGTTAACTTTCTCGGTCGATCTTTTCTTACCTTGTTTTTTATCCAAATTTCTTCTTTAAAGAGTTTTATCACATACTGCACTGTAGAATGGGAAAAATTAACTAATTTAGCGCTATTTCGAATTGATTTACCACTACTATGGTGAAAAATTACCAAGTTTAGAATGCTGTTTGTAATTTCTTTAGGACTGAGACCCATTTTTCAATAATAAATAAAATATTATGAAGTAAACAATAAAAAATTAAAGCAAACGATTTTTTTAAATGCCACCACAATGCAAAAATAAAAAAAAGCGGCAAGCGATAATTCTAATTTTGATTTTATCCAAAAATATTTCAGTGTACGAAGACTTCTGGTGAGATAAAATGTTTGTCATTTTTCGATTATTAATTTCTTAAAAATTAAGTTTCGCTATATTTTAAAAATAGTTCATGTAATTTTGTTACGAAGAGATTATAGATCTTATTATTAAAATCTCATTCAGAAAGTTTACTTTTAATTAATGGACAGAGCCCTATTTCAATGAAAATCATAAGTGTACGAACACTTTTGGAAGCCACTGCAGAACTGTCCTCTGTCCACTGTATATAAACTGGAATGGATATTTTTGAAATACGGAATTCCTAGCTCCTAATTGGTGCTGCCATCTAGGGAACAGCCGTAGAATTAAAATGTTGTACCACAGAAAAAATTTTGCAATGAACATAAAGGAGAAATACTAGAATAAAATAAAAATTAGGAAATATTTAACTGCGTCAAATGTATAATATAATTAAATATTTTAAAAGAGACATTAAATACTGTCTGTCACAGGAATTATTTGCATACATATTTATATCATATATTTAACGCCGTTAACTATTTTCTAAGATTTAATTTTTCCCATTATTTCTCCATTACGTTCACAGCAAAATTTTTACTGGTGTATGTATGTATATGCATATTTATTATCATACACACACACACACATGCCAAAAAAGGATATTTATGAAAATTATATCATAATGAACAATTATTTTTAGTTTATTTTTATTAATTAGGTTAAAACTAATACATTTTGTGCATGTATGATAATACGTTTAATATACATATAAGAAAAAACGTACTATACCTTAAATATAAGAACTGAAAAATATGTTTTCCGTTATTTTGTTTGTTATAAACATTTTTTTAAAAAAACCACTTTCTAAATTTTTGATAGTGCTTCGCAAAAATTCTCAGCATAATAATCACATCTGAAATACTATTTTCGAAATTTAATCAATTAAATAAATCTTTAAGGAATGATTCTTCTCTTACACACTGTACATCCCTTCCCCCTCAAACAAAACAGGTGGGATTGTGGATTATTGAGATTAAAGCACTTGTAGTAATTTTTTCCTTTCCCCATTGTGGCCGACGGATAAAGTCACTGAAAACTGGTAGTTCAGTCCCAGTGCTCGAATTCCAGACAATGGGATGGCCGTATGGTTGTTTTCGTAATTTGCCCACGTGTAACATGTCTACGAGCCAGTTCTCCTTAGGAAGTCCTCCACGAAGGCATACCTCCTCTTAAGCAGGTGGGACCCCAGGGTGTTTTGACATAATCAAATAAACCAAATCGTTCCTCTTTTTTAATGTTTACTTAGAAATATGAGTATCACGTGCCGGCATCTGATTTTTATATTCATAGAAAATTCACGTTTCACACCCAGCTTCACATTTTTTTTTTTTTTTTTAGTTTTGCAGAGTACGCGGTGAAGAATTTAACGAATAGTACGGGGTTTTTCACAATACGGTAGTTTGCCATCATTTACTATTTTAAAAGCATAATTATAATTAAAATAATGATCTTTAATATTTAAGTTCATAAATTTAAAATTCTGTTAAATGTTATACATAGTTAACTTTCCACTCATTTTGTGTTTTTGAATAACTAAGTTTCCTTCTCGTTTTTTTCTACACAAATTTATTAGTTAGTTAAAAAATATGAAATAGGGAAGTAAAAATATTCCTCATTCCTTCTTGCTGTCACAAATCATTATGCGAATATACATCTACAAGTTTAAAAGCTTGATAAACACATGTCTGAGATGTTATCGTCATGCGATAATTTGTAGGTACTTTATTTTTCTGACAAGATATTTTTTACAAGGGTGTTTTAACGGTAGTGTTTCTGAAACGCTTTATTTTCGACGACGATGTCTCATATCGCGATTTTTCCTTCTTGATTTCTTTTCTCCCACAATGTTTTGTATGACGACGTTTCCGCCTTGTGTCGTTTTTTCTGCGACGTTTTCGGCCGCAAATTTTTGTGTCAATGTAACGACCGAAATTATTAGCTATAATAGAAACGAACAAAAATGTTAACAGATCGTTAAAAGTGCGTATTTTGTAACTCATCTCTCTTGTCTGATAGCAACGTCAAAACAAGCCCCCCCCCGAAGTTCATCGCGGCGAGGAATGCAAGACTGCGCCTGCGCATTGAGTACCATGCAGGTGACAGTACGACGTTGCTCGGTTGATGGAAAACATCCCGGTGGGGAAGGACCTGAGTGTCTCCCACTCCTCTTCATCTACCAGCAACCTCTCGGGAGAACTTTCGGCTCGCCATGTGTTTAGAGTACCCCCATGCAGCAAAGATACTATGCATTCATGCCTTCTCTGGGATTTGAACCCATGTCCTTTGGTATCGCAGTAGGCTCCCCTAACCACTATGCTGTCTGGGCAGCGCATTTAATATAGATAACAGATAATAGATAATAACGCACTTCTTCAAAGAAGGATGCTTTTATCAAGCTCTTCATAATGACATTTTTCTAATATATGTATAAATACCTGCTTTATAAGTTTTTTGTAAAACACTGAATATTATTCTGAATGAATCAGAAAAATATCCTGTCCATAAACGTACACGACACCGTAACGATGTGATTCAATAAAGCATTGTACAGAGCTGTCACTGAATACATTATATAAAATAATTCCTAATTTTAATAGGCAGACATCTCTAACTTTTTTTTTTCTCCCATTTCTGTCGTCTGGCTTTGATTGCTGAAGATCCTTATGTCTTCTATGACGCGGATTATGTTCTCGTCATGTAGCTTTTACCATGTGTTAGCGAATTTAATACCAAAGCCAAAAGGAAGAGATTACTGGAATTTGATTTTTACCTTGTTTGCATCGAGACCAAAAGTCACCGAATGAAAGAGAATATTAAGATTTTCTTCTCGTGTGCCTTCATAACTTAAAACTGAATAAACGATAAATGTTGACTTAACCCATGTATAACGCCAAAAAAGAAACTCGTAATATCTTCACATGTGAAACACATATTTATTTATAGCATTAAATTTTTGTAGTATAAATTTATGTACATATTTGGTCACAAGAAACCTAGGTAACACCGATTACATAATGACTTTCGCGAGTTAGAGTTATAGAAGAACAGGACATCGAAGAGCGTGTAATTCTGAAACATCGCCAAAATCACTAATTAAATTTCGCAGAAAACTATAGGACTTGGTAGGAATGAAAAATACCCAGCTTTTCTTTTTAACAAAATGCGCTGCTTGGTCGATCTCGTTCAGAGGTATGATAATAAGCTATTGCATTGCTGCGAAATACACAGCTGCAGTGGGATATTTTCCCCACAAAGCGGTAAAAGGGTTACCAGAAAACGGCAAGGAAAGGTAGGGTTTCCAGATTTGGCGCGAAATCTCCCATTTGGTGACAAAGTAGGCGATATGCCATAGATGGAGCGAGAACATTCTATAAAGCATTCTTAGGTCTTTCCTCGGGAGCTGTATTTTAGTGCTTTGCCGTGAAACCGTCTTCAAATCTGCAACACAGCTTTCAGGCTGTGTTGCAGATTGTTTCAGCCTGTCTGTTGCAGTTTTTCGATGAGTGTAAATGTGTCTTTGCAACTGTCCTATGTATTGGTTTCTTCGGAAAGTAATTTCGTTTTTTTTTTGGGGGGGGGAACATGAAAGACAATTTTCGTATAATGAATAAATATTTTATTAAATTATATATTGGCCATTCTGGTCCAATACCTTTTGCCATCTTTCTGGCAGTAACATGATTCCAAGCTCATAAAAGTTTTGGTCCTTGAGGGCAAAAAACTGATTCAGGTGGTTTTTGACATCTTCATTTGAGGTAAAGGTTTTACCATCCAAAAATTTTCCAGGGAACCGGAACAAATAATAATCGGAAGGCGCCAGATCTGGAGAATATGGTGGGGTTTGCAGTATGTCCCATTCAAGCTGTAAAAAGCTTTGGCGAGTGATCAAACTTGTATGAGGTCTCGCATTATCCTGGTGGAACACTACACCCTTCCTGTTGGTTAATTCTGGCCTCTTCTGTTTAAGTGCATCATTCAATTTGTCCAGCTGATGACAATAGACTTCCGAATTAATAGTTGTATTGTCCGGTAAAAGCTATAAAAAAAAAAAAAAAAAAAAAAAAAAAAAAAAAAAAAAAAAAAAAAGATTCCTTTGAAATCCCACCAAACGGACAGCATCACATTTTTTTGGTGAATGTTGGCTTTTGAAACGCTTTGAGCCGGTTCATCTTTTCTGCTGCATGACCTCTTGCGTTTCACATTGTTGTATACGACCCATTTTTCGTCCCCAGTAATAATCCGCTTCAAAAATGGATCATTTTCCTGACGTTTTGAGGAGCGAATCACACACACTCAACGCGACGACACAAATTTCGCTCCGTAAAGAACATGGGGCACCCACACATCGAGCTTCGAGGTTAAGCCCAAGCCTTTCAAGTGGCCATAAACAGTCGAATTCGACAAATTTAAACCTCTCACCGATCTCCGTGTGGTTATTCACCGATTTGCATCAACTAAGCCTTTTATCGCATCTTTGTCAGCTTCGACCGGCCTTCCAGACCGTGGTGCATCTTCGACATCAAAATTGCCGGATCGAAACTTTGCAAACCAGTTCTGGCACTGGCGTACTGTTAACACGCCTTCTCCATACAACATCCGTCAATTTTTTTTCTCGCTTGGACAGCATTTTTACCTTTTCTGAAGTAAAAAAGTAAAATATGACGAAAATGCTGCTTATTGCTCTCCATATTTAAAAGGGCACCAAGCAAAAACTACTGCGTAGAATTAACAGAACTTTTTCACACACAAGCCTTGTAAATATCAGCTCTCAAGACATATAATGGTTATGCGGCTTAAGTGTGAAGTTGGTTTCGAAAAAATGTAATTAAGTCCTCTGACGGGAAAAAACGAAATTACTTTCCGAACAACCCAATAATAGTGCTTATTGGCGAATACATTGCGTTTTGATTCTTCAAGTTTTTGTCAACAATTACTCCAAATCCACGAACATGTGGAACGGAACAATATGAAGATGAACGGGGACTCGAAGAAAACTGCATCGCCAAATCGGCATGGGACGAAAAGTTATCAGACGTTTCTTGCAGCTTTCATTCACGCGTGCGTGCGTAACACTAAAGAGGCAAGGGAGTGAGGGAACTTCAAGACCGGTGTATTTGCAATCTTTTTAGCCAACGTTCGTTGCTACAGACAAAAATGGAATAAGAAGAGAAAATGTGAGAGTTTGCCTTTATACCATGTTACCATAGAGAGTCGGTAGCTTTATTTCGTAGCAGGAAGCATGAAAAAACTGGAATGTTCTCACGAGGGTTCGAATTCCGGACCCCTCGACTGCTATACGCACACCACGAAGGAAAGTTGCAAGGAAGAACAAAATTGCCACAAAAAAAAAAGATAAAGAGTGTATCTTGTGAGTACGTTGAGTTCAATAATAGTGTCTGAACTCCGAGAGCGATCGACCGAGTCGGGAGCTGTACTATAGCGCTTTGCCGTGAAGCTCTTTCCACCGTTGTAGCATGAAAGCAGTTTTGCTGATTTTTTTCAGCATGTTTATCGCAGTTTTTCGACAGCTGTAAACGTGTTTTCAGAACTGTCCTGAGTAATATCGGTTAATAAATCGTGTTTTCATTCTTTATCAATTGTTGTCATTAATCCACGAACCCGTAGAATGCACCAATGTATATTTAGATGCGAAAGTCTTATATATTAAAATCACAATATTCTGGAATGACAATCCGAGAATAGCTTTATACGACTCTGAATAGTTTAGCATTTATCACCTTCAGAAAATTTTCAGCAATGGCTACAGAAATAATTTTCTTCTGAATTTTACTTCAACTTGTAGAGATATTAGGTTATTTCGAGGCCAGAGAGATGAAAAATGAGCAAACGTCTTCGCCGGGAATCGAACCACGGACCTCTGGATACTTGCCTAGCGTGTAGAACCGCTATACCACGAAGGCACGCTAGGAAGGTGGAAGAAATACATTATATACTCCCCCTTTTTAAAGGACGACTGGGTTTTTAGGGAACCCTAGTCGCCAAATCCTGGGTGAGGAGAATCATCATCCAACACCCTTTTTTAGTTCGGGCCCCACTGTAGAGACTTTAGGTTATTTCGAGGCCGGAGAGATGAAAAATGAGCAAACGTCTTCGCCGAGAATCGAACCACGGACCTCTGGATACCGGCCCAGCGTGCAGAACCACTACACCACGAAGGCACGCTAGGAAGGTGGGAGAAATACCCGATAAACTATAAAGTACCTTATTTTTTATATTCCGCACTTACCTCACGGATCTTTTCTAAGCCAAGAGTGCAGATGTATGATGTGACATAAGCTTCTTGCCAAGACATATGATCTTCCGTTCTTACTAGGACTACGTATGTAAATAGCACCAAGAAGATTCCATATGCCATCTAAGGAGAAACAAGCAAAAACGCTTAAACATTTTTTGCTATGGTATTAGAAATTAACAAGTTATAAGTGGAGACATCATGTAACGCAATTTAATAAAAGTATGGAATCAGACATTCATAAAATCAATTACTAGATAACGTGGCAATATTTTTATGAACGCCTTTAAATTACTAATTAAGAAATTTTAAATTAGAACTAACATTTTAAACAGTGGGATTCATTTTAAATTAGAAATTTAAATTAAAAAATTTAAATTAAAAATTTTTATTCTTTAAATTTTCAGATTAGTGTTTTTAATTCTTAACAGAAAAACAAGCTATAGTAAAACGGATTTTCTTTTCAAACGCAAACACTCTATGAAATGGTGCAAATAAATATAACGGTGAATCTTTACTTTATGGTAACTTGGCGATTGTTTGGCGAACATTTGGCGATCAACCCTGCTACAGCAACCTGCTAGTTTTGTTTTGGACGCCATTTTGTTTTCACGAAGTAAAGGCATGTTTTTTTTTTTTTTTTTTTTTTTTTTTTTTTTGCTCAACATTTTTTCCAACAATCTGCTTGCCGAATTACGCTTATACTAGAACTTTTACGGAACAAAAATGCTTAATCATGACGAAGATTAGGTGCGAAATTGGGAGAAAGTGCAGAATCGCCAACTGCTTGCCGCATTTTTAAGAATTGCATGTACACGGTATCCATGTACACGACGACTTATTTTAACTTAAAAAAACATCCCAGAATTGCACAAAAATGGCATTGTGCACACTCTTGACTTTATCCATGTACTCTGCTAAAGTCCTAGCTAGTAACCTTTAGCCTTACCAAAATGTCGCCAAACTACCTGTTACCATATTCTAAAGATTAACCAATGTAACTTCTGAGAAAACAAAATTTATTTTTATCTCAAACAGGTGTAAGGAAAGTAAAATTAATTAATACTTAAGAGTGTTTTCCCCAATTATCACCTATTAATAAACCTAATATTTAAACAATTGTCTTTTACCTTTTTCATACATTATTAATTTAGGTGGTAAATATTCAAAGTACCTAAGATTTACAAAAACACCATTTAGCTACGATCCCCTTAATGTAAAATTTAATTCCTTAATTACTTCTTTCATTCCTATTTGCTAAATAGAAAAATTTTTTATCGTCACGAAAGCGAAATGAAGGCACAAGGGAACTTAAAAAACAGATAATTGCAAGCAAAAGTTTTATTAATTTTCTTCTCTTAAGTTTCTTTTATTTTTACATATGACTTTTAAAAATTTTTGCTTATTTATTTATTTATTTATTTTTCTTTTACCTTTTGAGCTAGATAGCTCTAGAATAGTCTTAGCTAATTAACCAACTTAAGGTATTTTTAAGGTAAGATTCAACTTTCGTTTGAAACGACATAGAAAGCTTTTTTTTTTTTTTTTTTTTTTTTTTTAATAGTATTACAGTACTTACAGTGTGTCCCCAAAATTTCGTAATGGGAGCTCCGTAAAATTCGTATATCTTCTTTCCTAGTTTAAGTGGCTTCTGTTTACTTTTCATCCTGTCCTTGTCGCTGTCCAGACTGATTTCGAAGGGGAACACTTTCCCGTTTTCAATTTTATTGATGCGTGTACTCGAGTTGCAAATACTGCCTGAGCGAATGCTCACGTAGGACTGCAATTAAATGGTAAGAGAGAGATTAATTCTAAAATATTCAAGGCATCTTCGGCAAAAAATATACAACTTTAGAATCTAGAGAAAAAACTAGACTAATCTAAACAAGCACAAGCACACGATGGCTAAGAGCTCATGCAAAGTAGCGATAATGCATGCCATATTGTTTTTCTTGGCCGTATTGTTCAAAGTGAGTTTAGGGTTGCCAGAAAATGGCAAGGAAAGGCAGGGTTGCCAGATTTGGCGCGAAATTGCCCATTTGGCAACAAAATTGGCGATATGCCATAGACGGAGCGAGGACATTCTAGAATGAATTCTTACCGGTTTGCCCCAGAATGTTCTCGAGGGCAGGTCAAAATCTATATAAACACTGGCTGTACGCGGAGAAGCGGTTTTTCGTGAAGAGTATCTTGAGAGTATGTTCAGTTGTAGTGCTTTGAGTTCAAAGATTAGCTCGAGAGCAACCCAACCGAGCCGGGAGCTGTATTCTAATGTTTCGCCCTTATAGCATTAAGGCTGTGTAGCTGATTGTTTCAGCGTGTTTGTCAGAGGTTTTCGACTACTGTAACGCATCTTTGAAACTGTCCTGTGTAATACTGCCGAATAAATTGTGTTTTGATTCTTCATCAAGTGTTTTCATCAACTACTCCAAGTCCACGAACCCGTAGAACGTAAAAACATAAAACAAAACAAAGATTAATGCTAATACTAAATGCCCAGTGAAAAAAAAATTGTAAAAGGCAGAAAGGATTAAGTAGTTATACTTTGTAAAGTATATGGGCTCACTCCCCATTAAGCTTTGCGTTCCCTTGCATTTGTTTAATTGAACTGAAGAAGAGCATTTTCTCTTGGAAAAAATTAAAATCGAGGAAAGTAATGTTAAAAAACGATTTGAATTCCGGAGAATGCAGAAAGTTACATAATAATTATTCGAAGTTGAATCAAAGCATATTTACCGTAGTTTTCCTAACATTAAGACAGAAAAATACCTTCAATACTTCTTAAAACTCGGTTCTAAAAACTGGACTATTTAACAGTTAGAGGTAATCACATAAACTGCAATCAAAAGCAAAACACCTATATGCATTTGAACTTTAAAACAATTACCTTTGCAGTTAACCGATCCTGCAGCTTGCAAATGAAAAGTCATGTTAGTTCACAACGAAAGCTAGCTAAATAAGACATCGAGGAAGGAACACATTATGTCTCAATATCAGTTTATTGTTGTATCTAAACTCTACTCATATTTTTCTAGTACATGAAAGAATAATATTTACAGAAATTTTGAAACTCTGATAATTCCGTGCTTGTCGTAACAATGAAGACATTGCTATAGAGAATAGAAAAAGTACACAATGTAATATATATATAAGCGGCTTAAGTGTTTGTCGCCGATAGTTTATTGGTTGCTTGCGTAACTGTAAATTGTTTTATTCCCCGTGCAGTGCAGCGCGTGACGACTATTATGAGAACGCTAAGCCGTGAAAATTAAAAATACAAGAGTACGTGCATTTAACATTTAATAAATAAAATTAACATCTATATATAATAGAATTCAGAAATATGCAACCGGCAACGATGAAAAAACAATAAAATGAAATAAATAAATAAATATTTTTATTATATGTGGCTTAAGTGTCTGTTTGTCGCCGATAGTTTATGGGTTGCTTGCGTAACTGTACCAGCCAATGGTGTGAAGCTGCCACGGCACAGAGTTGCCGTTTCAATTGAGACGTAGACAATTTCTTGTAAAACTTGCCTTTGCTACGACCATCCATGAGTCAAGAGCAAACGTTTAAGCGTGTTGGCATTTTTTTACTCCAGCCTGCATTTGGATACGGTCAACTTTATGTTGCCTGTTCAAGAGTTCGTGAAAGAACGGACGTAAAGTTAAAAATAATGGATGGTCCTCTGCAAGGCGAGCTTAAAAATGATGGAAAGATCTACACAAGAAATGATGTGTACAAAGAGATCTTTGACATGTGAATTAACATTATTTAAATCACCTTTATTTATTGAGATAGCGGTGGCTCTTAAGAAATGTACCGCCAGTAGTTTCCTTCATTGCACTCTACTTAAAGCAATTAAGCAAGTAGAAGGGGAAACCCCGTGGGGCAGTAAGCTAAGGGGATCCTCGCCGACTGCCCTGAGTAATTCAGTTTGAATTAGCAGACACCTTTGCACAAATCATTTAACTGTAATATCTAGAACAAGGGTCATTTCGTATGACCGCCGGAGTTTTCTAGTTTTTCATATTCACAGTTATTTATTTTGAAACCGTAACGTGACGTTATACATAAAAAATTTGTTAGAAATTTGCATTTAAACACTTTTGCATAGAGTGAATTTGTTAAATTTGAATAAAAAAATTTCCCATAAAGAGCCGGGTAGCTGTCGCAGGAGTTCACCTGGTAGAAATGGGTCAAAATCCAAGATTCGTCAAAGCATGACCATGGTCAAGGGGACGTTCCATCCTTCCAGTGTGTCACCGGTTGAAGGCAACGTCCCTTCTAACGTGTCCATGATGTATCAATGCATTTATTCAAATGTTAGATTACGATCCATTTCATGTGGATAGCAGACGACGGCCAGCGAACGTACTCGGAAACCTGGATTAATTTTTGTTTCTATTTTGTAACGCACTTTGTATTTTGTATTCTATACCTCACTCTATTTGGATACTATATGTAAAAACTTATAATAATTTTTGTAATATAGCTCGCATAAGTGACGCCATCTCTTGGCAGCTCTCTTTACTCATTTTTAGTCCAAAGGGATTTGAATCCCGAAGGACTAATAGTTTCGTTTTGGCATTTTGCGTCGGACTCATAAATGTCGGTTCACTTTTCAAACTGTTGCCACAAAATGTTAGAGTCCCACATTATATTTGAAGAAATTAAATAATGAAAAATCTGCATAAATGTATGTATATTTCTCGTATTGTGATAAAACAACGGTACACAGAGTCATCGAATTTTGAATAACGTAATCCTCCAACGAATATGAGCATGTGGAAGACCAAATTTGAAATTTGAAATTTGTTTTATGATCGATTTCCTATTTTTTAAAACTTTGACGAATTTTTGATTAACAAACTCAAGGATTTCAAAGCGAGCAATGGCAACGTTGTGCAGAAAAAACATTTTTATCTCCAGCGCGTGAGTCTCTGTATCGGAAATTCTAAAGATACGCTCGTTTTAAAACTATTTTGCGATATTGCTGTTGCACTGGATCTTATGGTTTAAGTGCGAGGAACATGATATTTAATAAAGAAAGGTAACACACAAAATGTTAAAAAACGCCCCTTTGGACGTAATTTAAAATCTGAAACATTTAAGATTTTTTTTTATTTTTTATTTTTTATTTTTTTAATTGGGAATTTTTTAATTGAGAAAGCCTGTGCTTTCTCTTGCTCTGGTGCTCTCCTTACTTTCAGCTAATAACTAAGCTTTCACTGTGAATCCTAACCACCTGCCCCAGCTTACAGCCCCTGCAACTCCACCGCGGTCTTTCATTCAAGCCACTCCTGTTGCAAATAGATATGCACCTAAGGAACTATTGATATTTTCTATTCCACACTACTTCACTCCCGTCAATAATTGCTTTTGATACTTAAACAGGTTAAAACTTCAATTGCTTATTATTCTATTGCCCTGCCTACGAAGGATATGTCTAAAATATTTTTCACGTGATAAACTCAGGATAGGGCGATGGTCAGGAGTCTGGAACTTATCTGTCTCGCCTGCCATGCTGGATGTACCTATCTTTGCACTCTCTTCCCTGCCTCAACCTCTTATCATTGTTGATACTTCGAAGGCTATTTCCGGATCTATCGATGAAGTCCCGAGGCCTGCTAGTTAGCGCTGTTAGTTAGTCTTGATGTAAAGTCACTGTGGTTATGGTCCGGATTATGTTATCAAAAGCTGAGCATTTAACGTGGTCAAAGATTTTTCCCATTTTCCGAAGTACAAATAAAAGTATACTTGAATTCACGCATCATCCTCATGATCATTTGTGCTTAGAGCTCAACAAAGAACTTATCATTCCTTTTCCTGTGCAAAGACATTGAAACAGTTTTTTTTATTGTTATGCTAACACTGCCTTAAAGCTTCATACGACAAAATCCTATGTTCTAACTTATGATGATAAATGTCGTGCAATCACTTCCCACAGAACGTTTTTTAGTTGTGCGGCGGAACACATAAAGATGAGAAAATCGTGTGTTCAGTCCCCGCAAGTCACTGTCTCCAGGTTTTTAAGATGTGTCACAGGGCATGTTTCTGACATCGCAGACGCAATAATTCGTCCCGGCTGACAGTGCAAGAGACATAACTTCACAACTAGTGTCAAAAGATCTTAATGTTCTGCATTGTGTCTGTAGTCAAAACCTCTTGGTTTCAGGAGGGCTGACGAACCAGTCATCGTTACTCTGACATCGTTTCAGCTATAACGAATCAGAGGATGTAAAATACTAATGAAAAATTAAAGAAGCATGGCTAATTCAGTCTGAAGATTTTTTTCCATAGGAACAACACGTCAGAAGGCTCCTGAACTCTCGACTAGAGAAACCCTCGTTGCAGACTCCTGATGTCACGAGGACTATAATGCACTTCATTAACAGTTATATACTATCCATGAATTATATATTTGTAAAGAGCTTCTCGTAATCGTAATAAATATGTTTTGAGTTAAAAACGCAGTAAGTATTACGGAACCTCAAAAATGTACCATTGATGATGTCGTGTCTATGACAAAATGCAATTATATAGCTTCGAAGCTGTCAAAGACAGCTTTTGCAACCTCGGAAGCTCTATCAGTATAAAGTAGGTCCACTGGGTCTTCAATACCGATGTTCAACAGTCTGGCCTGGATTGCTGGGCAGCTGAAGATGTGATGGCGAGACAGTGGGATGTCATCTGGGCAATGAGGGCAAATGTTGGTGTAACTACGCTGTCCGTCTGCAGACCATTATGTCACGGAGTGCCCCTTAACAGCAGAAT